GTAGACAAGTGGAAGGGAAACCACAATCTTAAAACTCATTCAAAAGAAGTTTAGAAAAATTTAGCAGTGTGAGGGCACATCTGAGATGGTTTCTTTTTATTTAAATATATTGAAGTAATAGAACAGTAGATATACACATGTTTTAAAGATTTTACTTACTTATTTTTAGAGAGGGGTAGGGAGGGAGAAGAGGAACAGAAACATTGATATGAGAGGGAAACATCAACTGGCTACCTCTGGCATGTGCTCTAACCAGGGACCAAACTCCAACCCAGTTTGGGCCCCAAGCAGAATCAGCTGACAACCTCTTGCTTTGGGGGAGGTCACCCAACCAACGGAGCCACACTAGTCAGGGCTGAGATGTGTATCTTTGTTACCTTGGTACCATAGCTGAAGGCTATTTTGATTTTCTTTTTCCTATATGAATGATAGTAAATCTAAAAACTAAAGTGATCACTGATTGACAAATCTTAAATAATTACTAGAGGATGAAAAGTTAACGTTTATGCATAATTCATAGTAATTCTTCTACTAACAATACTTGTGGTCCTATGAAAGTACATTATCGTACCTTGTTAATAGGATTAAGATACTTCCTAAAGCATTGTGATTCACTTTCCCAATCCCCCAAAACTTCTTTTCTGCATGAAATGGATGGTCCCCACAAGCAGGGCACATATTGAGGCTAACACAGTTGTCAGAAATGTTAGCACAAGGACAAGTATTATCTGATACCCCATTCTCTTTCAGCAGTGAAACATCTAAACTATAATGAGTAATTAAAAAATCTACCACTCTTAATGAATACAATTTAAACACTGAGTAAGATTTTAGATTTTATCCCTATGCTTACTCCTGTAATACCACCACCACCCCCATTCCAGTAACATCTTTTAGTATGAAAAATCTATTAAAATATCCCTGATACCTTTTATCTGGCAACAACCCCCCATATGTTCTGATAAGAAAACAGAAATATATTACGGTATTTAACACTATTATTTATGATGTGATATAACAATCAACTAACTGTGCTGCTTTAGCACCTGGACATTCAGTGTAGTCTCTTAATTGGCTGGAATTTGAATGTTATTGTTACTGAAAACTTTTATGATTTCAGCTGTAAACTGCCTTAATACCTACTGAACACACTTTTAAATATTCTAATCATCATAAATTTCTGATATTATATTAGCTTATTTTGGAAAAACCCAAAAGTCATTGTATGGCCCATACAGAACTTATGAATAGAAAATAATGAAAAGAAAAAAAAGTAGTTTGGAATATTGATAACTGGCATAATTTGAGACTCTACATAAATGACTTGTGGTTATTAAAGGTCCCAGAGACTATTTTTCAAAGATCATTCTATGAAAGTCATAGCTCAAAATAAACTTGAACTTAAAAGTAGTTCGCAATGCAATTTTAGCATTTTCCATTTTATTTCAGTACAGTTGAGGCAATACAAAGTTACATGGGATTCAATGGATCCAGAAAGCAGTTTTTCAATACCACTCTTTTTTCAAGACAAAGCCCAGATTAAATTAATAAAATTGCTGTTATGCATATACAAAACTAACCTCAAAGATACACCTTTAACATATACCCCTCTTCTAGCTTTGAAAATTCCCCTACAGGCCCTGGCAGGGGAGGTCAGTTGTTCAGAGCAAAGTCCTAATATATCAAGGTTGATGGTTCAATCCCCAGTCAGTGCACATATGAGAATTAACCAAATACTGCATAAATAAGTGGAACAGCAAATCGACATTTCTCTCTGTAAAATCAACAAATAGGAAGAAATCCCCCATATACTTCTGCAAGGCAATTTGGCATTATACTGTTTTATTTCCATCCAAAACTCACCCAGTATTTGGAAAATTGGGGGCTAAAAGCAATCAGAATGAACCCATTCAAAATGACCATATCCATATGAGTAACACTAACCAGCAGCTGGAGGAACTCTTAAGAAGACCAGACGTATAGCACTAAGGAATCTAATAATAATTCAAATAGACCTTTTTTTTAGGGAAAGATGTAGGTGAAACTAAGCTCCGAAAAACTTCAAGGGAACGAAACACTAGGGGGCAGCATGAAGCTGTTGGGACAGGCGGGACTCGCTTCTGACTTGGAAACCTTAAAGTTAGGCCCTGACTGGTGTGGCTCAATGGGTTGGCATCATCCTGCAGGCGGAGACTGCAGATTCCTGATGAGCCCAGCACAGGCTTAGGTGGCTGGCCGCACCCCCGCCCCGGGCATTGGGCCCTTTTGGGGGATGTGAGAGGTGACGGATTGGTGTTTCTTTTTCACATGGACGTTTCTCTCACTCCCTTCCCCTTTCCCTAAAAAGAAACAGTTCTTTCAAAACACTAAAGTTAGTGTATTTTTATGACAATTTTCCTATTTAATGAAAGATGATTTAATGGGGTTATGAAACTTGTTATAAAGGAAAAAAAACTAATTTTTTTAATTGCCTACACTTCCCCTTTCTACTGTGTACTTTGTTTTGCCTCTAGTGATTATCAGTCTAAAAATGCACTAGTGATAATGTCCTTTTGGTATAAAACAATGCAAACCCATGGTATTTCCATTCTTAAGGTGGGTAACTACAAAGACAAGGGATGACATTTTTATCCAAAAAATCTCTTTGGGTTATTGCTAAATTGTGTTGTATTCAATTAACATTTTTAACTTAATTAAAGAGCTTAACAACTACGCTTTCAAATCACTGAATAATGTGTCCATGAGCATTATGCGACAAAAAACTGTGGAGCAAGTCCCCCTCAGAGTTTAGTCTGGCAAGGAAAACTCAAGACGTGTGTATATAATCATAAGTTAGAATATACAAGAGAGACAGAAAAAACCCTCTGGGTTATTTCATGTAAGTAAGAGAATAACAGGATAACTATCACTGCAAAGGCCCCGTAGAGACCATTAAACCTAATAAGAAAAATCTAAACCTTATGTTCTGGGGGTAATCAAGTATTAGGGGAAAAAATAGAAAGTACTCCTTCAACCACTAAAGAACTTAAATGTTCATGTATTTAAAAAATGTAAAATGAATTAAGTATCTGGAGCCCTCTGTTTCCTTATGTCATTTATTGATTACAGTAAACTCATGACATAGGAATTTTTTAGTACTTCCTGTTCACAGATTAAAAAGATTAAAATAAAGTAACTCACTCAAAGTAACCAAACGAGTTAATAATGGGCCAAGGTTTTCAACCTTCTTACTCCAAAGCTGAAAAATCTTGCTAGTACTGGCCAATATCAGAGGGAGATGAGGAGAGGAGGGAATAGAATACTAAGGTAAATACACTTTAAAAGCAAATGAGCATTCGAGTAACTAATTTCCCTTGCTATGATACCTATTATCCTATATTATCCATAAATCAGTTAAAAATAAAACAAAAACAAAAATACTCCCTAGAGTAGTACCTAAACTTCAGGGCTTGTGAAGCTCTTCACATCCAATGCTCTAAAAAAGAACTGTATTGGCTTTATGTTTTTAATCCTCGCCCAAGGATATGTTTATTTATTTTAGAGTAAAGGAAGCGAAAATTCTATGTGAGAAATATCCACCGGTTGTCTTGAACAAATGACATAAGACAGTCAAAATTTGTAGAAGAGGAAGTCGTAATATAAACCAGTACACAAAGCCTGACTTAAGGCTTTCCGATCGCCTTCCCAAAATGGACTATATTCTAAATTCTCCAGCTTTTCCAACCACTTGCTTGTTCTTATGTAGAATTTAGATAAGAATCCACATGCACACGCACAAATGAAATTGAAACCTGTCACATGTTAGTTCAGATCCATTAGGAATGAGTCAGTTCCAAAGTAAAACCAGAGTACGGAAGAGCCTTAATATAGTATGTCCTTTAATGTCAGCTTTTATTACTCAAAACAGGGACCGCAGTGAAGGACCCTGAGAGCTGTGGATCCTGCGGTGGTATTTCTTCCTTGCGTCCAGCTCCTAAGGCGGCCCATGTGGGCAGGCTCCCACGTGAGCGGTTCTTTACTGAAGCCACAGGAAGACCGTCAACGTCACATCAGCCGCGCCCTCCAAGGCCCCCCTCTCAGCTGGGGCCCTCGGGGGTCCCAGGGGAGGAACAGTGGGAGTTGAGCAGGTCCCCAGACCCGGGGTGGGCGGGCGGGAAGCCTCCCCTTCATTCTCGGCCGCCTGGCCCCACTGCGCTCTCCGCCCAGGGGCTTTCAGAACAAAGCCCGGGCAGCGGCACCACCTCCCTGCCCACCGGCCTCCCCCGGCGACCCAGCCCCACCGAACCCTCAGCACCAGGGACACCGCAGGCCTAAATGTGAACTCCCCTGTCCCCCGCCTCGGCTTTTCAGTTGGTGGGGGGGGAAACCAAGCCCCCACGAGGCCTCCCACGCCCGGAGCACAGGTATCACCAACCGTTAGCCACCCGGTGCCGGAACTGCGGCGCCCAGGCTCCATCCCAGGGCCCCCGGCTCGACCCCGCGATAGACCGGAGGGGAGGCTGGGGGAGGAAGAATCGGGGGCATTCAACGCCATCCCACGACCAGCCCCTCCAAGACCTGACTGGAGGCTCCCACCCTCCGCCCCCAGGCCGCCGCAGCGCAGCCCCCCAACCGCCGCTTGCCCAGCAGTCACTCCCTCGCTCTCCACGCCGCTCCCCGGCCTCTACAGGAGGCTAAGTCAGGCAGGGGATCTCGCACGCGGGGCAGAGGCTGCCTGGTCGCCAACCCTAGGGCAGCTCAGAGCGCACTCGAGGAGCCGCGGTTCCCCACGCGCTGCCCCACGCGCTTCGCTCGGCTCAACACCGCCGCCAATTGCAGCAGCTGCAGGAACTCCAGCGCCCGGATCCCCGAGGGTCCCCCAGCCACGACTCCCAGGATCTTGTCTCCCTTTCTACGCCCTCCCCACTCCCACCCGCGCCGTCCCAGGACTCGCAGTCTCCGCTGTGCTTGGGGCCGGTTCTGGGGGAGGGAATGTAAACAAATCGGGGTTTTATAGTTACCTCACACTCGAGTGCCGTGTGCATCTCCTCTCCGCTCGGTACCAAACCCCGGCTGCACCAAATCGTGTATTCACCAAAGCTGGCTGCGCTAACTGCGGCGCGCGGGCCCGCACGTCAGACGCCACACTACGCTAATGGCGTACAGAGCCCACTCAGGTCCCTGCGCAGCCGCACCCCGTCCGCCTAGTGGGTGCTACGCTCTGGGCGTACACGCATCACCCAGCCATTTACTTCGGGTAACGCAGCTTACGTAGGGGGACCACCACCACTCTCGGGTCCTGCTCGGACCATCGGAGCAATAGGAAATGCGAGTCTACGCAAAATGCGGAGCTCAGTGGCTCCGCGCTAGTTTTGTTGCAAGAAAGAATACCGCGGAGGAGTTGGGGCGGCTTCTAACGCATGCGTGGAGCGCCCTTTACCACTTGCCTTTTCTCCCGGCTTTGCATGTTGGTTACAGAGGCCTGGGGAGGTGGATGAGTGATGAGTAATGAAAGCTCCAAGCACAAGGGCTTTACTAAAAGGTTTTAGATTGATAAATTAGGATGTTTATCTGTACATGAGTTAAACATCTACCTTAATTTAACTCTTCTCCTTTGTTGAAATGATCTTGAAGTCTCAGTGCAAGAAGCTAATATTTATTTAGTGCTCAGTGTGAGGTTTTTTGCATTGCTCTCCCTCACCCCGCAATTGATTCAGAACGCCTGCAAGCGTTCTGCCTGCAGGCCTTACAAACCTAAAAAATAAGTTGGCTCCTGAGAGCATGTCATGCACGATCTTGGGAAATTCTCGAGGGCTTTGACAACTTTCCAAGCTTTCCCACCACTACCTAAAGCTTAATTAGTTATTTTTAAACACCCAACCAAGGTCAAAAACTCCCTATCCAGCCAAGCAATTCCATGGACTCCTAACTACATTGTGTTCATTCCTGCTCTCATTCCTTTACTCACACCATCCCTGCCGCCTGAATTGTCTCCACCCCTCTTAAGCAATTCACAGCCCATACTTTCCTAAAAGGTGATTCTAGACACCTTCTCTTTCCTTCTTTACTCTGCCTCCTGGCACTTACTACATCTTCTGGCACTTATTGGTGTTCTGTCTGATGTCTGTTTTCTGTAACCAGCCAAAATCTACTTAAGGAGTTCAAGAGTGCTTTATTGATGTCCATCAGAGTGCATAAAACCATGATCAATTAATAACAAGCTTCATTATGTGTCAGGTACTTCCTAAGTGTTTTACATAAATATATTCCATTCTCATAACACAATGAGGTGAGTATTATTATCCTACCCCAGGAAACTGAGGCACACGAAGTTAGGTAACATCTAAGATCACAGAACAGGTAGAAAGGAAATTTGGCATCCAACCCAGTGAGTATTGCTACATACTCTTACTATTCTGGATATTTACAACAACATCTCTTAAGTGTTTAATAAATGCCTACTAACTGCCAGGATACTAAGCTTCTCATACCCCCTTTTTTCTTGTATGGAAAAGCCTTATCCCTGCTGGTTTTCACAGCTGCTATTAGGCAAGGGGAGAAGGTCTGAGGTATAGAGAAAAGAGAGTTTCTCTAAGTCCTAGTTTGAAGTCTTACTATTGTCACTAACGATGAGACATAATAATGACCGAGATCCTCAGATTCTTGGGTAAATTAAGAACTGGTCTAAATTCATCCTAAGGGCCTTAAACTTAATAAAATCAGAACTAAAGTCTGTAGATTTCATAAAATCAACATAGTACACATACTGTATCTCAATCTAGTATCAAAGATGTAGTGCATCTTTGGGCTTAGAGCATAAAAGGCTTCCAAATAACCCTGATAGTAAGGCTCATAATTATTTTATTGAACACATTATTATCACTCTCCAAATATACGCAATATCTTTCTTTAAATAGCAATGAGATATTAACACATTCCTCCCATTTTTAGGGCACCCACACTGGTTTTTAGTTATGTATTTACAGCTCTACTTTTCAGCTGGTACAGGTACCACTGAAATGATTGATCAAAGATTGAAATGTTCCATACAAGTTAGTCAACAGCTACAGCTCCGAGTTGAATTGCCTCATGATTCCCACCCCGGTATAAGCACTTTCTCTTGAGGCATGATGTAATAAATCCAATAGCCTTTTTAGTTCCTTGCAGGAACTAAAGGGTTACTGGCTAGCTAAAACCTATGCTTTACTAATTGCTATACATTTTAAATATAAGTCCTATGATAAGGGAACTGAAGAGTTAAAGATTTTTGCCTTAGTGGATGGGCTTAAGTGACTAATGTGTTTGGAAAGCTGTTATTCCAGGAACTGGATGGAATGCATGACTACATGCCTCCAGGAGGTCACAAGCAATTAAACCTTTGTTACCCAAGGAATCTGCAAGTGATAGAGGTGGTATCCTAGCTGCTGTATTTAGGTGGGGAAAGCCTATGATACACATAAAGAATTGCTGTTCAACACATAAAGCAGTACTAGGAATATCTTTGCAACTCTTATCCAATCAACCTTTTTTCCAAAAACCCTTACCCACCCTTCATTCTTAGAAAAGATCTCCTTAAAGTGAGATGTTGAGATGGTTTTTGAGGTTAAATAACCCTCTGTCTTCTCAGATCACTGGCCATCTGAATAAAGTGCCCATAAAGATTCAGTCCTTGTTTCTGCTCCTTGGTTCTGGTAGTGACAGGCAGCACAAACACTGACACTTCCAGTTTCATCCACATGAAACTATAGCGTAAGCTCCTTAAAAAGAGACCATGTCTCTTACCACTTGTTACACTCACCAAAAAATACATATATGATGGCCAACATATTCATGCTGATTAGGAAAGAGCTTAGAACAGAATTAATAGGTAGGGTAAATGATTGAGCTGAAAACAAGTATATGAATTTTCCTATTGGGAAAAAGTTTCAAAAGACGACCTTGAAGCTCAACTCAAACTCACCTGCTGAATTAAACCACGGAGAGTGCAGCAAAAATACAACCATAATATATGTTTTATTTTTATCAGATTTATATACAGGATGTGTCAGGGTACAGAGTTTTTAATATGTTAGAACCAGAAAAATTCTGAAAAGGTCAGACATGCCCATCTGAACTAGAGAAACAGTAGAGATGGTCTGCAATTCCCGGGGGCAAGAGAGTATTGAATTATGTGTAAACAGGTCATCTTTTATTTGTTCTGCTTATTCACACTGCTTCAGTCACAATTTCATTTCACATGTGTAAAATTTTAAGCATGACTAATCTATATTTTTGAGGCATGATGTAATAAATCCAATGGCCTTTTTTTGGTCTCTCAAGATTAGAAAAGAACCCAGTACAATAAGTAAAGGAAATAGAACCACACCGTATACCTCAATCTTTAGTTGTAACAAAAAAAAAAAGTCGATGTCATAACTTGTTTTTCCCCCCTCCAGTAGAGAGAAAATTGCTATCATTTACAACAGTTAAGAACCTTCCATTCACTTTTAAAGAACATGACTGATTCTAAGAAATCGTATCTTTCCTAGTCAGTTGTTTTTTCCATAAATCAAGCTTAGTAATAACCAAATATAATGAAACCTCCTTAACTTCATGCTTAATTTAAACTGATTTTGACTTCTGGGCAAAATGGGACATAGGTATACACTCCTCACCTCCTCATACAACCACAGAAAGAATTACACATAGATCTCAAAACAAATAACACCCAGAACCATTAGAAAATTGAGCTGTATGGAAGTCCAACAACCAAGGATCTAAAGAAGCCACATTTATCTGAATGGGTAGGAGGGACAGTTGCAGAAACAGGTGGAGAGGTGCAGAGACACAGTGTGGCACAGAGAGGTGGTGGGGGCTGTGGAGGAACAGACAATCCCACATTCACATATGGTGGATAAAAATCGGGAGGGATATCTTTGGAGTGAACAATCTCAGGACCAGGCCAGACCACACAGCCATGCATGCATAGTTCCAGCACAGGGAAGAAAAATCCCCATACCTTTTGGCTGTAAGAACCAGTGGAGGTTGGGGTGGTGGGCCCACATGGACTTAGAATGTATGCAAACCCACCCACTCTGGAATTCACCACCAAGAAAACAGCTGGAAGGGCACCAGTCACACAGGGTAAGTGGGTGAAGTGACTGGAAACACAGTGAGTGCCAGGCAAACCTACAGAGGCCCAGCAGTTGCACTGTCCCCTCCCCATGCTTTCCCTTTACACAGAGCCACAAACCAGTGAAGTGAGTTGCCCCTCCCTGGTGATTACTCGAGTTTCTGCCCCACACAGTCTATAGGTGCCTTTTCTACAATAGGCCATGCTACTAAGACAGGGAGTCAAAGCAGCTCTACCTAATACACAGAAACAAACACAAGGAGGCTGCCAAATTGAGGAGACAAAGAAATACGGCCCAAATGAAAGAACAGATCAAACCTCCAAAAAAAGAACTAAATGAAATGGAGATAATCAACCTATAAGATCTGGAGTTCAAAACATGGGTGATAAGGATGCTCAAAGTACTCACTGAGTACGGCAACAACATAAAGGAAGAAATGAAGGTTACACTAAGTGAAATAAAGAAAACTATTAGTGGATGGGAGGAAAATGAGATTCAAATCAATGATTGGAACATAAGAAAGAAATAAGCATCCAACCATGACAACAATAAGAAAAAAGAATAAAAAAACAAGGATAATATAAGGTCCCTCAGGATATCTCTAAATGTATGAACATCCAATCATAGTGATGCCAGAAGGAGCCAAGGAAGAGCAAGAAATTGAAAATTTATTTGAAAAAATAATGAAAGAAAATTTCCCTAATTTGGCAGAGGAAACAGACATACAAGTCCAAGAAGCACAGACAGTCCCATCAAGTTGGACCCAAAAGAGGACCACACCAAAACACATCATAATTAAAATGCCAAAGTTTAAAGATAGAATCTTAAAAGCAGCAAGAGAAAAGCAAGGGAGTTAACTATAATGTAGTTCCCATAACTATCAGCTGATTTCTCTAAAGGAACCTTATAGGAAAGAGAGGCCGGCAAGAAGTATCTGCAGTCATGAAAGGCAAGGACCTACAACTCTAGATTACTCTAACCAGCAAAGCTACCATTTAGAAAGGAAGGGCAGATAAAGTGCTTCTTAGACAAGGTAAAGC